ACTTCCATCAGCATAGTGTTCAGCAGGAAGAGAGCGGAAGTCAAGTTTTACTTTTTGGAAATTTCTGGGGTTTATTTTTTTCTGAATATTTTTTATCCTCAGTTGAATCTTCAGATGGGAAACCTGTGGATATGGAGCACCAATAGTATCCCTCTTGCCTGCCACACACATTGATTTTAATTATTTAAATACATCTTGTTTGGAGCTCATTATCTGTCATCTGGGATTTCACATCTTTATCTTTTCCCCATATCCCAAACCAGGCCCTTTGTCTCCATTCCAGTTGGCCTCCATCCTGAAGACAAAAGAAAAACAATGTTCTTGCCAGACCTGGGACCCCATAGTCCTGTTCATTCCCATTTTCTCATTGTGTCCCTGTGCCTAGGATGCAGTTGTTGCTGTGACTGGTGATGGAGTGAATGACTCTCCGGCTCTAAAGAAGGCAGATATTGGGATTGCCATGGGGATAGCAGGTTCAGATGCTGCCAAAAATGCAGCTGACATGGTCTTGCTGGATGACAACTTCGCATCCATAGTCACCGGGGTGGAGGAAGGTGCGTAGTCTTCCTCCAAGTGGTCTTCCTGAAAACTGGGGTCACTGGGAGAAGAGCCAGTCCTATAAGGAGAAACATCTTGCCTAGGTCGCCTGATCTTTGACAACCTCAAGAAGACCATCGCGTACACCCTGACCAAGAACATCGCTGAACTGTGCCCCTTTCTGATCTATATCATTGTTGGGGTGCCCCTGCCCTTAGGCACCATCACCATCTTATTCATCGACTTGGGCACAGACATTGTAAGTACACTACAGGGAATAGGGTCTGATAACTAACCCAGGTCATGTAAACTTCAGAGTCATTGCCTCAAGGGCAAGGAGATAAACTAAACTTTGCCATGAAGGAGCTGAAGCTCTGCATTTCTAATGAGCTCTTTCGTGTGCCAATCTGTCAAATGTTTGGAAATTAACAACACTTCGCTTCATATAACAGCTTTTCAAACATGAGTTCTTCACCCTCCAAAAACATATGCCATCCATCAGGGTCAGCTCTCTTTTCTTTTGAGAAGATGCAGCTGTCACCAAGATAGTTCCTGTGTTGCTGGGGACCCAATGGCTAAAGTGATAACCCATAGCAGCCCCTTGTTAAATAAAAGGATCTGTGATCTGGAGGCTCCTCACCTCAACACAATAAGAAGCCACAGTTATAAAATCTCACATTGACCTACAATGCTGTCACCTAGACCCTCCCCTCTACTAGCTTGCATCTGTGTACGGAATCTTTGTGACATTATGCATGTGTCTCTGGCTTACACAGGCAAAGGAGGAAAGGCAACAGGGAGCAGTCTGAATTCCAAGTGAGGAGAGTAGTCCTGCAAGTTGCCTCCTTGCCCTCTCTTGCTTTACACAACCTCCACATTGCAGGGAGACGAGATAGCTCTACCTCAGAGGGGAAATGGGATCGTCAGGGTTACAGTCAGATCATTTTCAGGCCCTTTAGATTTGCTCATTTTTCTCCACTGCAGTGGTTCTTCCAGTGTGGCCCAGGGAACTTACTAGAAATGCAGTCTCTGGCCCTAGCCAGGACCTTGTGGATCAGAAAGTCTGTGGGAAGTGGGGAGGGGCAGTGTCTTTTAACAGGCCCTCCAGGAGGGAGGACCTGGGAGAGAATCAGTGTGATCCAGGGAAGGGAACAGTAGGAGAAACCAAAGATACTTATAACTCGCATTGTATAGAACTGCCAGCACATGGTGATGATTGAAGGCAGATTGATTTTTAAAGCCGACTGTTCTTAAATTCTCTGCAGACAATGTACTCACCGCCCCCAACCCCTTGCCTTCACCCTGAATAGATCAGTTCCATAGCCCATGGCCACCTTCCACCATCCTCCCTGCCACCCTCCCCAGGCCCCAGACTACACCCCTACTGACATCCTGTGGGTAGAGCACAGTGTTCAAGGGGTGGGCCTCAAGACTCTCCCCTCCAGGTTCCGTCCATCGCCTTAGCTTATGAGAAAGCTGAAAGTGACATTATGAATAGGAAGCCTCGCCACAAGAAGAAGGATCGACTGGTGAACGAGCCGCTTGCCGTATACTCTTATCTGCACATAGGTATGATGAGGGCATGTCCTGTCACCCAGGGGACTACCCAGTCACAGTCAGAAGCTGTGCTTTTCCTTGTGGGGTGTGGTTGGGGTGGAAGGAGGAACCATGAGAAGAATGAGGACAGGGCAGTTCTGAAGTCATTGTGGAACCTACGCCTTACTCTCATTCCCTCAGGTATCATGCAGTCCCTGGGAGCTTTTCTTGTGTATTTCACGGTGTATGCACAGGAGGGCTTTAGACCCAGCACCCTCATTAACCTCCGGGTGGAATGGGAGAAGGACTTTGTGAACAACTTGGAAGATAGCTATGGACAAGAATGGGTAAGGAGGGGTTCTGCCTTCTCCGTCCTCCTGCTCCTCCCCTCCTGTTGCTGCCCTGCTCAGGCTGACACAGAACTTAGGTTTCCCTGGATGGCTGTAGTGACACAAAGAAGGTGAACGTTTTCTAAGTTAACAGGGCTTCTGGGCCCTGAGGTGACATTGCTGTGGCCTTTGCTGGGACTCACCTCTTGTCTTGAATTTGATGCCTAGAGTTCACTTTTTAGGGAAAAGTAGCCAGTCCAACAATGCCCACAGTTGGGCCAAATCAATTAAGTTAGCATCTTTTCCTGCTTGCCTGTTAGAAAATAAACAAAAAACTATCTTTCTTTCCAAATACAAGGAGGTGATCCGCTCTCAATCTCAGGGAGGTCGAGAGAGTAGAGCTTCACAGAACTGCATGGAAATCTCTCTGAAGCTTTCCTTGTGGGGTATCAAGGTCTCCTCTCTCTCTCTCTCTCTCTCTCTCTCTCTCTCTCTCTCTCTCTCTCTCTTTCTGTCCATTGACAGACACGTTACCAGAGGAAATACCTAGAATGGACAGGCTACACGGCTTTCTTTATTGGCATCATGGTCCAGCAAATAGCAGATCTGATCATCAGGAAAACCCGGAGGAATTCCATCTTCCAGCAGGGTCTCTTCAGGTACTACCTGTATCCCACCTCACCTCCTGGATGATGAGGCAGCATACCATGAGAGGCATTGACTCTGCTGGTGCTGGGTATGTGGTCCTGGGCCAAAGGCATTCAGAATCTTCATGCTTTAATGTTTCTTGTAGAAATAAAGTCATCTGGGTGGGGATTGCCTCCCAGATTATCATCGCTCTGATCCTCTCCTATGGCCTCGGAAGCATCACAGCCCTGAATTTCACCATGCTCCGGTGAGTTCCTTCAACAGTGGGGAGGAAAAGGCCAGTCCTGCTCTGAGCTGTCACAGCCTAAATAAACATTAGGACTTGGGGAGAGTGGGGAGGTTCCCCTCAGTCTTTCAAAAGAGACAAAACGGAGCAGTTCCGTATTAGTCAGAGGCTTTGACCTGCTAGTTTTCCCGAAGAGGAAATGGGTTTCCCACACCTCACCATCCCATCTCTACCCTCATCCAACAGGTCACCTCAAAGGCAGATGCTACTTCTAGTGGTCACAATCCAGGTTAAATAAGAAACTTTCCAGTTTCATGTTGTGTGACCCAATGGATCTGTTCTTTCCAAGGAGGCAGGGGCTGGGCCCTCTCTTCAGTGCATTCAGGTTCACCTCCCTCTTCTGCTTCTAGGCCTCAGTACTGGTTTGTGGCTGTGCCCCACGCCATTCTCATCTGGGTGTACGATGAGATGCGGAAACTTTTTATCAGACTCTACCCTGGAAGTAAGTTGTGGGATGATCTTTGAGACTCTGCCTATCCACTTCCACAGACTATCCATTTATAATTCACTTTCTACCTCTGCAGGCTGGTGGGGATAAGAACATGTATTATTAAGACCACCTACTTCCCAAGCCTCCCACCAGAACACCAGGACATTCCTCTCCATCTCCTGGCCACATCCGGGACATCATCAGAATACATTCAGGAGAAGCCAGAAAACTGTAGGAAAGACACTACCAGATGTTTATACTGTAAAGCAGAGATTTGACTATTTATATATGATTTTCATTTATATATACACCTCCTTATATAAAAGAATGTGAATTTCAAGGTAATGTATGTGGAAAACTGATGTATTTGTATGTATACTAGAGGCCCGGTGCATGGATTCATGTACATTGAAAGGAAATTAATTAGGAAGAAATATTTTAGAGGCTGGGGAGGGACTGCAGGAGGTTGGCTGCCCAGCCCATCTCGCCCAGTCTCGATTGGCCAGACCCCAGCAGCAAGCTAACCTACCAGTCAGAGCATCTGCCCCCTGGTGGTCAGTGTGCATCCTAGCGACTGGTCAAACGGTTGAACAGTCGGACACTTAGCATATTAGGCTTTTATTATATAGGATAAAGCTCACTCCCATGAAATAGTCTTAGGTAATCCAGAAATCTGCTGGGGTCTCTCTGCTCCCTAAGATCTCATAGGATTGCTCGGACCTCCATTCCATACCATCTTAAAACTTCAATGACCTCCCAAAGATTTCTCTGAATTCCCAGAGAACTTATATTTTCATACCTACCTTGCTCAAAAGAGGCCAGTGCAGCTGAAGGTTTGCAAGATATGGAAGTGATGGTAGGTTTACATCACAAAAACATGGACAACCTCAGTTGTGACTCTGAGATGTCCTTCTTAAAGGTTCCCAGCCACCTAGCTGCATCACCTCAACCATCCTTGGTGTTCTCCCTCCTACCAGTGTGACCGCCCCCCTCCATCCCATGCTGCCCTCCACCCCTACCACCAACTACTCCAAAACGGAACTTCAAGTTCATTTTGCATATCCTGTTCCAGATGCTCTCCTGACTCAAAGGTATTTTTATTTCCCAGGATTCATTCTCAGTAGAGAACTATTGTTGTTTAAAACAGTAATATTTATTTCTTGTAAAACAGTTGCAAAGCACCCTCCAGCACTCATTTTATATCTCTCATATTTCATGCCTTAACTTAGATTTATTCAGGTGAGACACACACATCCATGTTGATAGCCCCAGAAAGACCTCATTTTTAAGTAAAAGGTATTTTATAAAACCAGGTCTCATTGTGGTGTTCCAATTAATTGGAGCTTTTTTTGGAAAGCGGAGTACAGTTCACACCCATAAATGAGATGATATTTCAGTTTTTTGTTTGTTTCTTTCAGTCATTTTACTTTTCTATGGAAGGTCTGAAAATACCGGATTTTTTCAACTCTCCCCTCACCAGCATCACCACCCTGTAGGCTGGGTCTCTGATGGGCCCACATTTTAAAGTCAGGATTTCTATGGGAGAATACAGCTTTCCCATAGGGAGGATAGGGATCGTAGTGTTCATGGCCTTTCCATCAATGGCACACCCAGCACAAACTGGACAGAGCTCCTTTTTCGTTCAGTGGCCTCTACCCTGTCACCTTCCCTCCATTACTTATTCAGACAAAGACATTTTGCTGCAGGTGGGTCTAGGTCAGATCTCTGGACAGGGAAAGGGCAACTTAGAGCCACAGTTCTCTACCATATTCTCAGGGTCACATTTAGAAGCATGATAGAGGTCAGGGGCCAGCATGGTAACTTTATGTAAATAGATTATAATGTGCATATTGTATGTGTATCTTTAAGTTAAAATAATATTGCCATCCTCCAGGTTTTTAATCTCTATTTTCAGCCACAGTTATCGCACAGTTAACCTGGAACTAATCTTTTATCAGTAGTTCCAGTGAACTGGAAACCCTTCCAGGTGGCATACAGCGGTTCTCAACCTGTGGGTCGCGACCCCTTTGGCAGTCGAACGACCCTTTCATAGGGGTCGCCTAAGACCATCCTGCATATCAGATATTTACATTATGATTCATAACAGTAGCAACATTACAGTTATGAAGTAGCAACGAAAATAACTTTATGGTTGGGTCACAACATGAGGAACTGTATTTAAAGGGCCAGAAGGTTGAGAACCACTGCGAGGCTCATTCCAGTCTTGGCAAGGCAGCTAACGCCAGCATGTGAAGCTCTTGACGTGTGTGTGTGTGTGTGTGTGTGTGTGTGTGTGTGTGTGTGCGCGCGCACACACACACATACACATCTTTACCTTGAGAAACAGACTCTTCTGGAGGTGTTTGTAAGGGAGGTTACCTCCTGAGATCAAACTGGGATGTGTTCAGATCAGGCCCTGGAAAGGCCACCCCTTCCCTGACAAACTATGTTATTATCAAGAAGAGGGAAGAGAAGGTACTAAGGCAAGGACTTTTAAAATATAACATATCTGAATGCACACATGCACTTCCTTCCGACTCTACACTTACAAAGATTGTCAAATCTCCACATTCATTCACTCTGCCATCATTTCACTAGCACAGTTTAATTCTCTTAACAGAACAATAACAATAACTGATATTTAATGCCCATTGTGTCCTTGGCACTGTGATAACCTCCTAAAAGCATCTCCTTAATGCTTGTGTGAAAAATAACACAAATGGATCCATTTCAAAATGGAGTCAGAGCTGCCATCCCAGAGGAACTGCCTCGCATGTCTTACTCCCCAAACTTTTTAATGTTTAAACTGAACAAAATAACCTTTTCACTGGGCCTAAAGCAGTACTGTCTTCCAAACAAGTGTTTGCAACGCTGACAGGAAAGTAGACATTCTGAGTACAGGACTGAAAGTTAAAGGCATTATTTATAACTAGAGACCCAGTGCACGAAATACATGCACTGGTATGGTCCCTAGTG